TGTTCGACTTGCTCACGCTTAATTGTCTCAAGCGTGTCCTCTGAAACAAAAGAAATTGCTAATGAGGCAAGATTGCAAGCGTGCTAAAGCGTGTTAGAATAAATTCTTTTGTTTTAAAGTGAAAGCGTGTCGTGCGCGTGCTTTCACCTTTAGCATTAAAGTCCTGTGGAGGGTCACATTTGACCTTAAATGTTCTGTTTCTCGATAGTGGATAATGAGAAACTTGTCTCCTCACCCTTCATCCCTAACTCGTTTAGTAGGTCCTCTGTGCAAAATGTTGAATTGGAACCATTGTCCAAAAATGCATAAGTTATCAAAGGCTTTTCCCTCCCTATACCCGTAACCTTTACGGGCACCACAGGCAGACCAACTGTTACCTTTGACATTCCTGTAAAACCACAAAGTGCAGGCTCGACTTCAACAAACCATTGTTGACTTTCGGGACAGCTGGTTCACGTCTTTGTCCAGCGGGTTTCTCCTGTTTTTTACCAGACGAATTCTGATCTTTGTTTGCATTACCAGCAGTTACCGAAGGATGAGGTAACAGTGATGAATGTTTTCTACCACAGTCCTTGCAAGCTCCTTTCTTTCCGCAATCTTGCACTCTATGGTACGGTTTCAGGCAGCTGAAGCAGAATCTTTTACTTCTCACAAACTGTGCACGCTCCTCAGAAGACTCCCTTTTAAATTCGAGACAGTCATGCAGATAATGATGCCTTGTACACTTTGGACAGTTCTTTGGATTTCCATTCCTTTTACCAGCGGGATCTTCCTTGTTTTCATTGCTTCTTCCCTGGTCTGGATCCTCCCCTTTGATTGCAAAGCTTTTTCCTTTTGGTTTGGAGTAGGTGTTTTTTCCCTTTCATGACACCAGGAGCGAGCTGAGATATCACCAAACACTGGGTGTGAAGCAGCACGGGCTTGTTTCTCTACAAATACGACAATGTCTTCAAACTTAATCTCTATGTCTTGATCTTCTGATATCTGGTCAGCGGTGTTTCGCCACTTCTTTCTCAAATCATAAGGTAGCCTATCGATAACGCCCCTCAAGCTGTCTTGATTTTCAATCTTGCTACTGTAACCAATACTTTTCAAAGTGTTTCTACAACTTGTCAGCAAGGTCGCAAAGTTCTGCAATGAATCCTTTTCTGTCTTCAGACTTAATCGCTGGCCCCTTAGTCACCTTATTTACACAGGCTGTAGCAATCTTGTAACTCTGACCATACCCCTGTTTCAGTAATTTACGGGCTTCGGGATAAGCTTCTTCTGGTTTCACAGCTAAACAACTGCGCATCAACTCCTGAACCTTTCCTTTTGTATACTGTACAAGGTAATACAATCTTGAGCTACTACTTTCTGTCCTAGACTCTATCAGACACTCAAATGCTTCCACAAAATTTGAATATTCAACAGGATCTCCCCCAAAAACTGGTACTTCAGGCTTAGGCAGGGGTTAAGGTTAGAGCACTCTTGTATTGCTGATTAACAAGGCCTTCCACTCATTTTGCCTGCTTTTCCTGGATGTCTACTATTCTTTCAATATCTTCTATATTGGCTGGTGATTGATACATTCCTTGTTCATAGGGGGGCAGAGATGAAGAGACCAGAGGGTTGAGCCCCTCACCTTCAACTTTAGCTGCTCCTGTTTCTTCACGTTCTTTGATCTTGTAATTCTGTGGCGAAAGTTCCTTTGACTTGAGATCTAACTCAAATGTACTACCTCTTTCCACAGCATCTGCTTCTGTATACACTTGCTCCTTTGCTGCTATCTGGATAAGATCAGACTTAATTTTTAATCTCTTCTCCGGCTGCTGCAACTGGAATTTTCTTTCTGCTAAAGCTTGTTGCTCCTCAAACAACTTCAACTTTGCCTCCAAGGCTCTTCTTTTGGCTGATTCTTCAACATATATTCTTCTCACAGAACTTGCTTTTCTACTACTGGCCACAGATCTACCACCTATACCTGCCTGACTGATTGAACCTTCAGCTAAAACATCAGAACCAGGCGAATTTGCATTTGCACACTCAACACTGACAATCCAACCAGCTACCTTTTCTTTCAAACGACTGACAGCATGATACTCAGCGTGAAAATACTCATGTGGTGTTTTTGGCCAGCGGCCAATACACTTTGAGCATGCGCACTTATGCGCCATTCCGAAACGTAGTCCGTTTGAATCAAAGACATGACAGTGGCGACGAGGTGAAATTCAAGAAATTATGACCACTATTGGGAAGATAGAGAGTTTTGATGACATAAAAAGAGAACTGGGAAACCTATGTGGAACTAGTTGAACAGTTTTTCTTGGCGAACGACATCGATGATGACCATAAAGTGCCAACTTTGTTGAGCTTGATCGGCGGGAAAACCTACACTCTGCTGAGGGATCTTCTTGCTCCGGAGAAGCCAGCTACAAAGTCCTTTCAACAGGTAGTTACCACTCTCCAGCAGCATTTGAGCCCGAAGCCCTTGGAAATTGCGGAAAGAGTTCGTTTCTACAAGAGAAACCAACATGAAGAAGAAAGCATTTTGTCTTACGTGGCCCAGCTAAGGACGCTTGCGACACACTGTAATTTTGGCGGGAATCTGAACGAAGCGCTACGAGATAGACTGGTCTGTAGACTTCGAAATATGCAGATTTAAAAGTGATTACTGTCAGAAGCCAAACTGAAGTATTCCAAAGCTGTGGAGATTGCTGTAGCAATGGAAACTGCCATCCGCGATGCTTCAGAATTACAAAGTGGGCTCAACCCCAACCCAGTCCCTCACGTTGACAAGTTGACTGAACACAACAAACCAACACCAGGGAAACCGGCGAAAACACCCCTTGCCACCGCTGTAGTGGGAACACACATATGACACACAATTGTTTTTACAAGGACCAGATCTGCCACCACTGTGGAAAACAGGGCCATATCCAGCAAGTTTGTCGTTCCAAACAGCAAGGTAAGCCTAAGCAAGCAACCAAAACCCCAGAGGTAGATGCTGTTGAGGTTGATGTTGATGTTGATGCATATGAAGACATCTTAGCCACCTTTGAGGTACACAATGTCAGGAAACAGGGCAACGATATTATCTGGGTTGATTTGGATGTTGATGGTAAACCACTTAAGATGGAACTGGACACAGGCTTCCCCTGCACAAAACTGGACTGTCCTTGAAAACCTACACCGGGGAAAACATTATGCCAGTGGGAGTGCTCAAAGTTCCCGTGAATTGCCAAAACCAAAGAGAGGCGCTGGACCTGTATGTCGTCAAGAATAAGGGTCCTGTTCTAATGGGAAGAGATTGACTACGCACCATACGCCTTGACTGGTGTTCTATCAAGTCGCTGCAGGCTTCACTAGCTACCTCAAGTCCTAAAGAGTGTTTGGACGGTATGCTAGACAAGTACTCAGATGTTTTTGAAAATAAACTGGGCACCTTTACATCAGCCAAAGCGAGGTTAACTCTTAAAGACGATAGCCAAGTACGCTTCCTCAAGGCCAGACCCATGCCGAATGCATTAAAGCCGAAGGTGGAGGAGGAACTGGGGAGACACTAGAATGAAGGCATTCTCACTAAAGTGGAGTGGCGTGAATGGGCGACACCGATTGTGCCTGTCCCCAAGAAAGATGGTTCCGTCAGACTTTGTGGTGATTACAAGATCACAGTGAATCCAGAACTACAAGCAGAGCAGTACTCTCTTCCTCGCATTGAAGACATCTTTGCAAACCTTGCTGGTCGGCAGAAATTCTCAAAGATTGACCTCCGCCAAGCGTATCATTAAATAGAGATGGAAGAAGACTCAAAAAAATACGTCACAGTCACAATCAACACCCATTTGGGACTGTTTCAGTACAACCGACTAGTGTTTGGCATCACCTCTGCACCTGCTATCTGGCAGAGCACCATTGATCAAGTGTTAGAATGGACGTCTGGAACAAGCTGTATCCTTGATGATATGATCATCACTGGAGAGAATGATGATGAGCATCTTGCCAACCTAGAAGAAGTTTTAGGTCAAGTTTATGGTAGCATAAACTGTTGTTAATAAACCTGAGAATGATGCCCTATGAAAGCACACTTAGGACATACTAGCAACAATCATGTCTCGGTTCTTATGTCACACAACGTGCAACATTTGTATAAGCTTTTGTACTAAGTAATGGTAAATACTAGTTCAAAGTACAAGAAAGAACAATGAACACTAACTAGTTGTTTGATTACAATGTATCCTTCTTCTTTGGCAAAGTCCACTGTAATGTAGCATGATATATTACTAGACTCCACAAAGGTTCCATTCATATCATCACATGCTTATTATGCACATGTGCTCCTCTTTTTGCCGTACACTGTCCTTTCCCAGTCAGTTCGTTTAGAGCTTCGGTTCATTCACAACAGCGTTTTTTCGCCTGGTCTACGTCCTCAAAAATAGCGTCGCTTAAATCGACTTACATAACTTAGTGTACCATGCCAAGGTAAAGGAGGAACATCAACCGTTGAAATGCCGTATTGGACGGCGCCACCTTACCGGCAGAACCAATAGACTACAGCGCCATGTCTACCGAAGTTCTTCGCCTCATGCTGGGAGAACGTCACCTCCAGCAAACCGGGAATCGCCGCGAACTTATCTCGCGACTACAACATAATGAGCAGCAAAGACCGCCCGCATCACAATCAGCAGGCGCCCCGTCCTCCGAGTAACCTTCAGAACAGCCTCAGGTCCAGCCCTCCTCCACCGCCACAAGATGGCGGCCAAAACACGACACGTCAACAACAACCTTCCCTTCAAAATCCTCCGACAGGTAATCTCCTCCCAAACACCGCCGTTTCTGCTGGTCTCGCCGCTTCTTCTGGTCTTGGTTCCCTCTCTTCTCCAGTCGACTTTTCCGATCCAGCCCAAGTAGCGTCGCTTCACCCCAACTTCCGACAGCCTTCCCTCGCCAGCCATCTGACGAAAGCCACCTCGACGGCCATCACCAACGATGAGTACGTGGACTTTGCTACCCTTTTACCAATGACCTCCCTTCTCACTGACACCATCCATTCCCATCTTAACGTTAAGGAAGGCGATCAGGGTCTAACTATTCCCCTTCCCTCCTCCTCTAAACGCCCCAAAATCACCTCTATCGATCTATGGCTCGATGCCTTTGCCATATATTTCGCCGTTATAGTGTCTGTATATCCCTCTCGTGCCGCGGATTTAATAGCTTATCAACAGCTGATTCGCGATGCGGCACGAAAGTTCCCTGGGATGGCCTGGTATGTCTATGATGTGGAATTCCGAAGGCGTGCCTCCCATAACCTTTCTGCCAAGTGGGGGGAACGGGACTTCCAGCTCTACCTCGATACCTTCACAGGCCTCCCCAAATCGGGATGCCGATCTTGCGGCAGCACCGATCACCTCTCTGATACCTGCCCTTTATCTCCTCGTAGGTACCGGGATGCCCTTACCCAATCCGACCTGTGCTACAACTTTAACAAAGGCCGACCCTGTGCTCGCACCCCATGCCCTTACCAACACAGGTGTAACAAGCCGGAATGCTCAGCAGCTCACTCTGGGGAAGATCACACTAAACTCACCCGCCACAGAGAGGACAGACTTAAATCGTCTTCAAACCCTGGCAATTCCTCCCGAGGACACTCCTAATTACCTCTCCCAACTGACCCCTCCCACTCCCATTGACATCAGCAAATTTGCATCCTACCTTCAGGGCCATCCAGATCACACAACAGTTAATCATCTTCTCACAGGGTTTTGTCAGGGCTTTAAGATCGGCTATTCAGGTCCAAGGGCCCCCAAGGAATATTCTAACCTTCCCTGTGCAAATATCAACCCATCTATTATTGACAAAAACATGCTAAAAGAGGTCACCCTGGGCCACACAGCAGGGCCTTTTCACGTCCCCCCTTCTCCAACCTGCAGGTATACCCCATTGGGGTCATTCCCAAGAAACACTCTTCGGAATGGCGTACCATTTTCCATCTCTCCTACCCTAAACACCGCCCCACCAGTGTCAATGCCCACATTCCTCCCAAATCCTATTCTTTGCAATACATAAAAGTGGACCACGCAATTGCCATTCTTCAGGATCTTGGTCCAGGATGCTTCATGTCCAAACTAGACATATAATCAGCATTTCGCAATGTTCCCGTCCACCCCTCTGATTGGGAACTCCTGGATATGAAATGGGCAGGGCTCTATTTCTTCGATATGGTCCTCCCCTTCGGTCTCAGGTCGGCCCCCTTCCTTCTTGATGAATTCTCTTCTACGGTTGAATGGATCATTCAAACTAAACTTAATATCCCAAAGGTTATCCATATACTAGATGATTTCTTTTTTGCTACCTCCCCTCCCAGATCAAAATGCATGACTGCTCTATGCCAAATTTTGCACCTTTTTACAGATCTAAATATCCCCATAGCTCCTGGGAAAACCTTCCCTGCATGCACATGCCTTGAATTTATGGGTATCCTACTAGATTCCAATAAAATGGAAGCCCGTCACCCGGTGGATAAACTCACCCGCATTCAGGAAGCCCTTGGTCAGTGGACTACTAGGAAATCTGCTACCTTACAGGAGCTACAGTCTCTGATTGGCACCCTTCAATTTGCTTGTAAGGTTATTGCCCCTGGCCGCCCCTTCTTACAACACATTATCCACCTTACAAAGGGTATCAAGTTTCCCAATTGGCACATTCGCCTTAATTCCGGTTTCCGTAAGGAAATTTCTATGTGGCAGCATTTTCTCCAAAATTGGAATGGGGTGTCTCTCTTTTTAGATACCCAGGCCACCTCTCCGCCGGAGCTTCAGCTATACACTGGTGCTTCTGGTTCCCTTGGGTATGGGGGTTTCTTAGCAGGAAAATGGTTCCAGGGCCACAGGCTCCCCCACCACACCCTCAGCCAAAAAAGGGGTATTAGTATTGAATGGCAGGAGCTATTTCCCATATACTTGGCCTGTATTTTATGGGGTCCCCGCTGGTCCGGTAAAAGAATCCGCATGTGGTGTGACAACAAGTCAGTGGTGGCTAGCATAAACTCTAAACACTCCAAGTCCCCCCGGGTAATGGACCTTATTCGAGCAATCACACTTCAAACGCTCCAATATAATTTCGCATTCACAGCTACTCACATCCCGGGCTTAGATAATTCTATCGCTGATTCCCTTTCCCGTTTTCAGATGGACCGCTTCCGTACCCTGGCTCCCTCAGCCTCTCCCACAGCCTCCACCATCCCTCCATCAGCGATGAACATCTGAGAGGTTCTGTACAGCGATACCTTCATGCTTCCCTTGCCCCTTCCACTCGAGGCACCTATCAAGTTGGCGTTAAGCACTTCCTCACCTTTACACTCATGCATGGTTTAGTAGGCCCCTCAAACCCCCTCCTACCAGCCTCAGAGATAACCCTGATGTATTTTGCATCTCATTTAGCCAACACAGTATCCTATGAAACAGTCAAGCTGTACTTGGTGGCAGTGCAGGACCTTCATCGGGAGCTTAACTTTCCTCTTAAGCTCAATGACATCCATAGGTTACAAAAGGTCCTGACAGGCATTAAGCGCCGCACTCCTACCAAGCGGCTTGACCGTTTTCCCATTACCCTTACAGTCCTCCATTCCATTCACTCCTACCTCAAGCCCGAACTTTCCTATAACCTGGACCATGTTATGCGTTGGGCGGCCTTCACCCTTGCCTTTTTTGGGTTTTTAAGATCCAGTGAATTCACTTGCAGTGGCCCCTTCGACCCCTCTGTCCACCTCACTTCCAAGGACATCACACTGGTACCCAACTCCCACTCACCCAGCCACATGCTAGTCCACATCAAACAATCCAAAACTGACCCCTTCAGACAGGGCCACACAATTACCATTGCAAAGTCCTCGTCACCTATCTGTTCGGTGATGGCCATGAAAGACTATCTCCTTCAAGTCCAGCCACCATCAAGCCACCCTCTGTTCGCCTTCGTCCAACCCAGACAATGGGTTACGCTGAACAATCTCACAACAGAGCTTAGGTCAATTCTTCAACACTGTGGTCTTTCTGCCAACAATTTCTACTCCCACAGTTTCCGTATTGGAGCTGCCACCACAGCAGCCAAAGCTGGCCTTCCACCCTGGCTTATTAAAGTTCTAGGCCGCTGGAGCTCAGACTGTTATGAACGCTATATAAGGACCCCTAAATGTACCATTTTAGAAGTACCTAGACTCTTAGCTAATACTAGTCCATAACTAACTTCAGGACAGCTAGTGTTGTCGTCAACTTTCGTCAGATCACTTGCAAAGTCTCATAGGAGCGGAAGGTATGGCTCCTTCTTCTTGCAGGAGCCTGACTTTATTCGCCTTCTACTGTCGGGGGATTGTGTCCCCTGTCTCCCCATGCTCCACAATCCGTGGCAGGGAAGTGCAACCCCTGGCTGCACTTTACCCCACAGTAAGGCTTAGCCGTTGGAGACAGGTCCGGAAAAATATCCACTCCAGGGTGTGGACCCCTGGTCCCATCTGATCTATACTCCACCCAGGAGGGCCACCCCTCCTGGTTCCCCTCAGTTCCTGTACTGGGGGGTATGGGCCTCACCCCCGGAGACTGATCAGGACTCTTGTCCAGGGTGGCTACCCCCGGTACCACTCGATCTTGTCTCCCCCCAGGAGGGCTTCTCTCCTGGTCCCCTTATCCCTAGATTTAAGCGCTTCCCTGCCACCAGAATTTTGCCCAATACCCTTTGTGTGTTTTCTGTGTGGTAGCGACACAAAGCATTTATGCGAAAAACACTGCCAATTGGAAGAGTTTATTAACGTCGCTTACAGGCTCATGGGTTAAGAGCAAACAAGACAAAGTGCGAGTTTTTCAAAGAGAAGATAACCTTCTCTGGACATGATATTGACAGTCATGCTCCCCACAAGTCACCAGAGAAAGTGGAAGCAGTTTTGAAAGCGCCTCGCCCATGCAATGTAGCTGAACTGAGGTCGTTCCTGGGGTTAGTCAATTACTACAACAGATTCTTGCCCAATCGTTCGACAGTGGTACACCCTTTGAACCAGTTGTTAGAGAACAACCATCAATGGAAGTGGACGGAACAATGCGAAACAGCATTCTACAACGTGAAAGAAGTGATCACCTCAGAGCAAGTATTAACACACTATGATCCCAGTCTGCCACTGAGGCTTGCTTGTGATGCATCCCCTGTGGGAATTGGTGCCGTGCTTTCCCACGTGATGAATGATGGGACTGAGCGACCCATTGCTTTTGCTTCCAGGACACTCACAAAAACTGAGCAAGGGTACGCGCAAATTGACAAAGAAGCTTTGGGAATAATCTGGGGAGTCAAGAAGTTCCATGCGTATTTGTTTAGCCGATCTTTTACCCTGTACACCGATCATCAGCCGTTAACATCCATCTTCCACCCACACAAGAGCATTCCAGTGGTTACGGCAGCCCGGCTTCAGCGCTATGCATTATTCTTGGCTGGTTATGACTACCAAGTCGAGTACAAGAACACTAAAGTGCATAGCAATGCTGATGGCCTTTCCTGGCTGCCACTTAAAACCGAAGAGAGAGCAGAAGAAGTTGTGGATCCAGTAAATGTTTTCAATATGATGCAGTTTGAGCCCTTACCAATCACAGTTGACAAAGTCCGAAGAGAAACCCAAAGGGACCCTTTCTTGAGTCAAGTCCATGAGATGGTGACTAAAGGATGGCTAAGCAGCCATGTTCCTGTACTGGACCCCTTCTACGCTCGCAGGGATGAGATAACAGAACACTCAGGCTGTTTGATGTGGGGAATCAGAGTCATAGTACCCCCAAAACTTCGTCCACAAGTGCTTGAAGAACTCCATCAAGGACATCTTGGAGTGGTGAAGATGAAGGCCTTAGCAAGAAGCTACATCTGGTGGCCAGGGATCGACAAGGAAATTGAGGAAACTGCGAAGACTTGCTCGGGTTGCCAGCTAATGCAGGCTGAACCTAGAACCGCACATGTAGATCCATGGTAATGGCCATTGTCACCCTGGCAACGAATCCATATTGATTTTGCCGGACCTTTCCTCGGCTGCATGTTTTTGATTGTCGTGGATGCCCATTCTAGATGGTTGGAAATAGAGAAAATGAACACCACGACCTCAACCAAAACCATCGAGAAACTGCAGAGCTTATTTGCTAGTTATGGTGTGCCATCCCAGTTAGTGAGTGACATGATATGACGATATGATATGATGTAGTTAGTGATATGATGCAGTTTGAGCCCTTACCATTCACAGTTGACAAATTCAGTTCAAAACAGGTCAAATTAGTGTGAAAGTTCTAAAGCTGGTCTCACCCGTCTTTGTACAGCCATTGACGAGGTTGATCAATTTGTCTATACAGAGTGGCTGTTCTCCAACTAAATGAAAAATGACGTGCGTCACACCTCTCTTTAAAGATGGCGCCCAAGACTGTCGGGACAATTTTAGACCGATCTCCGCGTTCTCCATATTGTCTGAAGTCTGTGAAAAGCATGTTGCTGCCTCCTTTATGGATTGCCTTGTGAAAACTGGCTTACTGTATGAATTTCAATCAGCTTTTCGCGCAGGGCACTCCACCGAGTCGGCTCTGATCAGTTTAACTCACCAAATCCTCTTCAATCTAGATGAAGTCAAAAGGTCTAGATAGCAGCAACAATATAGATAGTCGTATGAACGTAACAACTTTCTTTAATTTTCCAGACATGTTTCGACGGTACATCCGCATCTTCAGTGTTAATTCCGAAAATAAGCCCCTCAAAATATAAGCCCCCCAAACCGGTAACGCAAAAAACCCTCCGTTAAATCGCCCCTCCAAATATGAGCCCCCCCAGGGGCTTGTACTTGGAAAATTGCCCTCAAATACAAAGTAAAACAAAGGAAAAACAATAAATTTACTTTCAACTGTAAGGCTAGTCCTATCGATTGTGAAACGCAAATTTCCCCCTTAGATAAGCCCCTCCAAAAATAAGCCCCTCAAAAAGGGCCTTTGAAAAATATAAGCCCCGGGGCTTATTTTCGGAATTTTACGGTATTTTGAAATCGCCGTTGAATTTAAAGCGCGCGCCCTATCTTACAAAGTTCGTTACATTGCGTTGTCAATATTGCGTACTAAAACAAAAAAAATTAAATGAGTGACGCTTAGTTCTTTACAGGGAGAGAGTCAGGTTAATGTGTTTCACCTGCTGGTTGAGATCGGGTTTCTCCCATTTCATAAACATGTATTCCTTAAGCTTCACTTGGTACTTAGTGGTACTTAGATGAAGACAAGCTTTCTGGAATGGTTTTTGTAGACTTTAGAAAAGCGTTTAACGTTGTTGATCATCAATTGCTTCAGCGCCTGTATAGAGTGAGTGATCCTTCTCTGTCATGGTTTGAATCATATCTTTCTGGTCGCCAACAGTTTGTCAGTATTGACGGTCAAAGATCAGACTCTCTACTTATCAAGCAAGGGGTACCGCAAGGAAGTGTCTTAGGTCCCGCACTGTTTTTGTTATTTGTGAATGACATTCCATTACATCTAACAAATTCAACTGTGGACATTTACGCCGACGACACTACAATAACCGCAAGAGCGCATTTCTCGGATCTATGCTCGATGACCCAACGTTTAAATTCCGATCTTGATGCCGTTCAGAGGTGGGCGTCTAGCAACAAAATGTTCATCAACAAGAAAAAAACGAAGTCCCTTTTAGTGCACGGAAAGTGCATTCCTGCTAAGCTGGATGAAGACACACCCCTACGCTTAGATGTCAAGATTGAGGACTCTGTTATTGAACAAGTCTCTTCTCATAAGATTTTAGGAGTAGTTATAGTCAAAAGAACTACGAATCACACATTGATGAATTATATAAGAAACGTCCCAAACGCATAGGACTCTTGAAGCATATTAGCCCGTTTCTTAAGCAACGTCAAAGGAAAACCTATTACAATGGTGTTATAAAGCCCACCCTCCTGTATGGGAGTATGACAGCTGCAATGTCGAACATCTTCAAAGTATTTTAAAACTTCAAAAAAGAGCGGCACGCATTATACTTGATGCTGAAAGACTTACACCATCAGTCGTATTATTCAATAATCTAAACTGGCCCCCTTTTACGGAACAATCTCTAAAAAAGAGATGCGCACTACTGTATAAGCGGGTCTACAATTGTATTACGCCTATTTATTTGGATAGTCTATTGGTCAGAAATTCATAAATTCATAATCGAGCCACTAGACATTCAAACATAAATTTGGTGTGCCCCAAGTATAAACGAAAAACAGGAGGTCGTACTTTCACTACTAGGACTATAAAGGACTGGAATTGCATGAATGCCAATATAAGAAATAATGGCTCGCTAGCAAGTTTTAAGCATAACGTTTTTAAATCCTTTCTAGCGGAACAAAAGGCTACGATGCTCCTTAGACTGTAATTGTATATACGTTTTATGTTGCTTTTATCTATCTTAGTCATAACGTCTTGTTAGAAATTATCTATTATATTTTATCCTAAATTATCTCTGAAAATGGTATATTTTATAGTTTTTTGTTGTAGAACCTATATTTGTAATTTGTTTTGAGGGCCACAGAGTCAGCAGTGTATTAGGACTACTGTTAAGTGTTCTACCCTCTTTAAATAAAGCCTATTATCATCATTATTATTACTATTATTGTTATTGGTTTAAATCTGAAGAGTTTCAGTTGTTCCTCAAGAGAAATGGAATCAAATATCTGACATCTGCTCCATACCATCCTGCCAGCAATGGTCTAGCCGAACGCTGTGTGCAGCGTTTCAAATCAGCCATGAAAAGTGAAACGGAAGTAAAACCTCTGAACATTACGCTGACAACGTTCTTGCTAGCTTACAAAAATACCCCCCATTCAACCACTGGAGAAGCGCCATCTCAGCTATTTTTGGGAAGACGATTACGCACTCGACTGGACTTGCTGAAACCAGATCTCCACTTGAAGATAAGCAACCGTCAGATAGACCAAACTGTCACGAAGGGTGGTGCTGTAACCAGAGAATTCTCCATCGGTCAGACAGTGATAGCACGAAATTACACTGACAGTAAAAAGTGGGTACTTGGCATCATCCGAACACAACTTGGCCCCCTTTCTTACGAAGTAGAAGTCAAACCTGGCTTAGTGTGGCGTCGACACACAGACCAACTGAGGGGTACCAGAATTCCAGTGACACCAAGCAGCAACCCTGTTACCCAGACCTCAGAACTTCCAATCCAGGTTGAGAGTCGTGAGGACCCAGTATCTGTCGACAATGAGCAGCCAGCAGCCAGCAGCCAGCAACTTGGAGACTGATGTTCCGCCACCAAGTCCAGTGGCTGACCCTGCAATCAGCAGTCCACCAAATTTGAGTGAACCTGTTCCTGTTAGACGATATCCGGTCCGAGTGCGGAAGCCCCCAGCTAGGCTGGATTTATGAACTTGAAGTGCCATTACAGTCAAACCAGGCCAAGCGTTCCCGTCGTTAACTGATTAATAAATTCTTGGTTCCGTAGTTTATTCACGAAATAAATAATGCAATATTCAAATCGAGCCTCGATTTAATAATCGAATGTTGATTGGATTAATAAACAAAAGCCTTGCAATATATGGACACCACGCTCCTCCAGCGCTCCAGTTGAAAAAATGGCGGGCAGGCGAAACAGTTTGGGACGGATTTATGAGAGTGGGAAGGCCCTGTCTGGAGTTTTCTTGTAAGGAAGTTAAAGTCGCTTGGGCTAACTGTAGACGGTATTTCAGCGAGCTTTTGCGGTCTTGGAGGTTTTGCAGCAGTCTGTCAACGGCCTTTTCACCGCCTTCACAAATGGAAACGGTCGCTCCGCTTGTTTCTGTCAATGGTGTACACAACTGCTCAGCGTGACTACGCGGTTTTCTGGTGTGCAAGCAGCTTTCCAAACCATGACTTTTATTTTATCTCCGTTTTCCAGGTCTTTTATTTCGACGTCGACGAACTCTCACCACTCCTTATCATAACCCTGCAACGAAACAGTGCCCTGTACATGTATGCCAAATGTATCTTCCACTAAGTCTCTCTTGGTCGATCTTTCAGTGACTTCTGTCACTTTCGTGACTTCGTTGAATTCAACCAAGACAACGATTTTGTCCTGAACAGTCAGAGTTCACGGTTATTCTTGGTGCATTTTACACACTACAAGAGGAAATGATAAAACACACAAAGGTTGAAAGCATGCTTGATCGATCGCAAATATTCACAACTGCTGCCAAATCGAAACTGCAAATAGGAATCAGAGGAATCATACGGAAAAATGCCTGTAGAAAAAGTAAACAACATTTTATACTAATGGCGTGTTGAACGATAGAATAACCCACCTGCTCTATCACACTCAACTCCGGAGAGAACTCCGCCATGTTACGAGAAACATGCTTTTCGCAGCACTCCATATATGGCACGGCTTTTGTTTATTAGTCCAATCAACATTCGATTATTGAATCGAGGCTCGATTTGAATATTGCATTATTCATTTCGTGAATAAACTACGGAACCAACGAACGGAAACAATTTGCTATTAACGAATTTATTAGTCCGTTAGCGACGGGAACGCTTGGCCTGGTTTGACTGTAAGACTGTGCTTATTTCAATAGGCGTGTTGTCTTTGACTTAACGTTTCAGATCCTTATTAGTTACCATATTGCATGCACTAGCTAGTGGGGAGGAGTTGTGGTGTTTTTGGCCAGCGGCCAATACACTTTGAGCATGCGCACTTATGCGCCATTCCGAAACGTGGTCCGTTCCAATCAAAGACATGACACATAACAATACTGCCGACATCAACAAGACTCTTGGTGTACAACTCATGAGCTCCATTGAAGTTTTCAAATGCTTGATTAAGCTCAGATACTTTGTTCTTTACATAATCAACGTCAGCACCAACCTCTAATAATTCAGGGAGTTCATTCCTCTTCCTCGTAAGTACCGACTGCTTAGTTGCGTACATCGGATGATATTCACATGTTGAAGGAAATAATCATAAAGCACAACAGAAATCCAAATAGATGAATTCTCGATAAAAACAGGAGATAGAGCGCTATCGTTAAAGCCGAGTAAAAAACTATCCTTTCAGCAACTGTCCTGGAAACCGGCAAACTTACGTCTACTTTAAGATTTGCAGTCGAGAAAATCCACAAAAAATATAAAATAAAAGACACACACACACACACACAAAGTCAGTTGTTGGAAACGTTTAAAAAGAGAGGTCAGCATGAGCTTGAAAAATACGCAACTGAAATTATTTTTGTAGGCCGACTAAGGCTATGTTCACACTATACTGGCTAGCTTTTACACCGGCACGAAAACCATCCATACCGGGTTAGGCTTCTGTTTACCCACAAGAACGGTGATTTCTTCGGTGCGATTTCAGTAACGGAACGAAGGTCTACCGATCTCTAAAATGGAGAGTCACATGTCGGATAGATGTTCAATAACTATATACCGCCGGGATAACTCAGTTTTCAGCGTGTCGGCACGGCGAAGAGCTATCCGGTATAGTGTGAACATAGGTACTGCCTGCGGAATCTGCTGAACTGAAATATACCAGGTGGCCATAAAAACCAGTTACGCAGTACCACGCATTAAGCCTTGACCAGATATTTATGTAGGTTAGGGACTGAACTGAAAGGGCAAAATGGTTTCAGAAAGTTACATTTATTCAATCGAAGTAAGATTTTGAGCAGGCTGTGAATGCGCTGAGCCAGTGGGATACACGTCTAGTTCCATCTGATTGATTCGGGACTGAAACTTCTGATAAGACTCCTCCAATTCCTGCAATATCAACAAATTTTGTGTTTGGAGTGGGTCCAAGAAACAAAGCCAGAAATTTCTAAGCAGTACAACATGTCCACTAAAAAAGTTTTATGCAACGTTTCTTGTCATTTTGTTGTGACATTGCGAGGTAAGTTCCATCAGCGAAATGTTGCTTTGTGTGACCCCCTCTTAAACAAATGAGACTTGCTAAGTTTACGTCTCAGTAATCATTGCAAAAAGTGACACTTGGTTATTTTAACAAAGCTTGTTGCTGGAAACGTTCGCTTAAGGGGTATTTCCTACTTGACGAAATTTTTATGCAAACCTGTGCTGCGAAAAAATCGCGAGAAAAGTTTCAAAACACGAATCTATGCCGAATCTCACGACAGTACTTGCGAGGTCAAATTTACAAAGGTATAATACCGATAAAGTAATCAACTGAACTTCACTGATACTCGGCACAAAAACAAATAAAAAACAATTAACGGGTGGCATTAGACACAGCATACAAATTGCACATATCACAGTCTTTGATAATTAGGCTCTCGTCCTCGTCTTTTTTAATGTTCTAGTCTTGTACCTCCCGTGACCTCTGTTCAAGACACTTCCTCAGCTCTGCCTTCCCAGCTTCCCTGCTGGTACCACCTCCCCAGACTCCTGCTTGCTACCTGTTCGTCGGATTTTGTTAATCACCCCTAAAGAGAAGGCAGAACTTGTTACCAACCTTAGCTTCCATTTCGAGGCGATCAAAAAGTGCTTTGCTCTGAGCTATCATGACCAAAGTGCTACTAGTTTCATCCATTTTGCTCTCAGATGGCGTCCTGTGGCTCTCGTGCTGGTGCAACTGTGTATCCACAGGTGAATCGTCAACACTAGGTAATGTTTCCATACTTTAGTACCGATGTGGTAAAGGAGATAAAAAATTACAAGTGTTTATATCAATATACACCATAAGTAAAATGAAGGCAACAAGATGATTTAGCACTTACCGAGGGAATGAATTAATCAAGGTGGTTCTTCTCCTATCTAACTCCATGTCAAGCACTGTAGAAAGATAATTATCGATGTTAGAGACGTAAATTCGGCCTCTAAAAATAAGATGTCAAGTTGACAACCTAGTGCCTGCTTACATGGAGGTGGGTACCCCAGGTAGGAACTGTCCATATATAATCTCATATTAATTTAATCACGTTTGTTCTGTCGCGAATTCTGATAATGTCGTGAATTGTAATACCTGTCGCAAAAGGTAATAACAGTTGTCGAGAATTGTAATAACCAAGTTTTCGTAAATTGTAATAAGCCGAGCTGTCCTGAATTGTAATATTTTGCAATAAGTCTTGAAAATAAACAATAATTCACCAAGAATGCTTTTAGATAACTAAGATTGTTCTATTTTCTCTCATACATAACGAAAGGAGATTCGACAGGAATCCTACAATGCAGCTCCTCAAGAGCTCATTGCTCAATTGGTTATTTCCAAGTTCCAGAAACCCTAACTTTCAAAACGACGATAAGTGTTTCATTTTCATCAGAAGAATAAATCATTATTTTTCAAGTGACTGGCTTTGCACTTAGCCTCGCTTTGAAACAGAGGCTTGGGGCCACTCGGAAATGGCCTAGAAAATTTAGGCCCCCTTAGTGCTTAAGGACAGATTTAACGACAGTTTGAAAATTATAAAAAAATGTGTAGGGAAAACCACTTAACCGTGTGACAGCGTGACAAGATTTATTTTTCCCAAAAAATTTCAACAATACGCTAGCCGTTTACTTCTGTTTGTCGACTTTTTGAGCTGCGAGTAATAGTATGATGAATAACCAGGTTTGTGGTTACCTTGCCCGTTATTTACACAAATGATACACAAGACGAACGGACACTTTTGTATAACACAAAAATCTAACACCTCTTTGCACTTAATAGCTCTAATAGTTTAAAGCTCGATTGATATTTTTTCCTTCCTGTAATTCATCGCACTCCCAAGAATTTGGTGAGCACTAAGCAAAATATCACAGTGGCGCCTTATTCTTGGCTATATTATCTAATCTTCTTTTAATTTAGTTCCCACGGGGGCTGGGGAACACCATGGCATAGGGACGTTTTCGTGTTGATAACTGATAACTCATGTTACTTTGTAAAATGACGTCATCAGTGACATCATAAATGTGTTGAAGAAATACTTCATTGCTTACTCTCGTACTCGTGCCACTTGATTTCTCGTTTGTCACGACTTTTGTCATCAAAATAAAAAAGGCAAAAGTCACACAAACATTGCAAATTTGTCACGCTGAGGTCATTTGTGCGATGTACTATTAAGGCGTTTCGAATTGTCCCTTTACGACAACGCGATATTACAATTTACGGTACCTTAATAATAACAATTTTCGACAACTTTTATTACAATTTACTGTAACAGGTATTACAATTCACGACAGAACACACGTTGACATAATAGGTGTGGTGCCCCACCGAGGTGGGTTCCGGCCACGGTCTGTCAGACCGGGTTATCCTCTCAGCGGGGGTAAAATGTTGACATCGAGGTTTTTTTACCCCTCCTGAACGGGTCACCCCATCTACTTGGGGTGCCCCACCTCCACGTAAACAGGCCCTAAATGAACCACCATTTAGTTGACAATCAAACTACCTTGCTGAGTTTGATGTAATGTGAGTTTCAAATCGGTCACCTCTTGCTTCAATAAAGACTCTCTTGTCAGTAGGCCTTCATAAAGTTCCTGATACTTCTTTTTTCTTTGGCACTGAGGAAAAATGTCTGTAAATGAATCCCTACTGGCCTATATGTTTTATTTCACATAATTTAAAGTGTACGAATCTGATGTCTGCTTTACATATGCAGTTTACTCCCCATAACTCGAATCCTCGCTAACTCGAACCTCGAGCAAAGTCGGACCTAAGTCGATTTTCCCTGGACTGCCTTCATACTTCCTTAATTCTCTGCTATCTTCCAGTTGAATTTGCATCAATAGCAATCGTCCTGTACGCCACTAAAAGATAATCTATGCTAATATTCTAAACGTTTACAAGTGGTTCGCTTGTCAAGTCCTTCACAAGAACACTGTCATCAATTTATTTAGCTCCAGTTTCCAAGTCGCAAGATTCAAGAACATTGTATTGAACATTAGTTATTGTACAGTCAACTCTTGACAATTCTTGGGGACCACACTCAAGTTTTAAAAGAGAAAGAAAAAAATTCGTTGTTGCTTGATTACGTCCTCCATAAAACGTGAAATTAGTGATTTTCACGTCCTAGTCGTGCAGTGACGGCAAAGAAATGTACAAAAAAGTGTGCTGCACGTGCAAAGTTGCTGTTTTGCTTTTCAAACCTATTGCTTTTTTGAAGTTCTCGCTCCCGTCGCCGTCGTCGTTGCTAAAGTTCCCTATCTTGTCGATCCCGGCGGTGGAGAATTTGTCAGAAAACCTCTTCCCGGGGGTGGGGCATTTGTGAATTCTTCTAGAAGCGGTTAACGACGTTCCTTTTTCAACATTTCACTTAAAAATATGCCTATTTAGATAGCTTAAGATATTTCTATGAAGAATGTTTTAAACAATTACGCTTTAACGAGATAAGTGTGGTTTTTGTTCCATCAATTCCCTATATATCCCACAGTATTTTTTGCATCTGTCTAAGAAAATGCTTCCCGCCATCGTGACCATTTTGCACATGGAGGAAAAACAAGCAATGTATTGTTTGAAGAGTTTAAAGGAAAAGACACTCGTTGTGCTTGAATGGTTCAGGCAGAAAGGCTTAGAAAACCTTTGCGAGATATTTCAAAGCTACACTATGTACTATAAACTTCAATCGTGTATTGTACGATGAATGCGACAATTAACGCGCTGACGAAACGGTTCCATCGTGATGAGAAAATACTCGCTCACCGGTTGTTTATCATTCACCACATTAAACGTCTTCGAAAATAAGAAATGTATCATTAAAATTCTAGTTTATAGATCTGTCATTGATATTAATCAGTTGGATGTGATCTTTTTTGCAATAATTATCACTAGCGAGCAGGAGCGATTTGCGTAGGGCGCTTCACGCGCTTTGATCAGATTATTAGAAATTTCCCATATGGTATTTGCAGCTTATTTACTGGAAAATACAATTTTGGTGTTGTCCCGGGGTGGGACATTTGCACCCTATTTTCAAGCCCCACCGTGGGGTTTTTGTATGAAGGCCCTGCCCCACCGTGGGGCATTTGCAGCTTTTCCAAAACAAAATGACAAATGCCCGACAAATGCCCAGGGCGGATGGGCACGCTTGGAATTGACTGAGCCATTACTTAATCAGATTTTAGGAATCTTGTTCGCCTGACAATGGCAAGTTTTCATAGATGGTCGTGTTTGTGATGTTAGAACTGACCTTGGTTCATTGGTCTCGTTAAAGTTCCTGTTTGGGTTTGGTAACCAGCGTTTTAGTTTTTCATTGATTTGTAGCTTCTTGCCGATTACAACCATGTAGGTTCAGTTATACCAAAACATTACCCACACCGAGTTCACCTTGATTTTGATTCTCACGGTCAGCTAACCCAAACACTACCAGCTCTGGACATAAAAACGGCGGCTGTTTGGCTAGTTAGTTAGAAGAGTTAGGATTGAGTAGAGAAGAAGAGTAAGAAGATTAAGATTGCCAGCAGAAGTCAAAGAAGAATAAAGACCAAGATGTAAATCATATTCCTAGTACCTCATCGTGTAGCGAGCAAGTTGCTCCAACACACCCCCACAATTTACTGTTATATTACCCTTGATAACTCAAACCCTCGATAACTCGAAGCTCCCGCTAACTCGAAGTAATTTTTCATTCCCTTCAAATCACTTCTATACAGTTTTACCCTCGATAACTCGAACCATGTTTTAAGCGCGTGATAAGTCGGGGAAAAAAGTGTACAGAAGTCCGAAACACTGAATTTTTTTCAAAACAACCGTGTCAATTCTTTGACCTTAATTTTTTGTTACTCCAGCTCAAATTTAGTGTCCACCCTGAATATTAATCAAGCTGTGTTGCTTAATTCCTTTTTCAAAACATCAATCTATATCTCTTTCTGTCCTAGAAGTAAAGTGTGCATGATACACTGAAAATCAAAAAGATCTGTTTCAGCCCCAAAGAGACAACTCAGCCCTGAAGGCAAAAGTCTGATTCAGCCCCTTCTGGAACCATTTGAGCACAATTCAAGCCAAAACTAACAGGCGCTAGGAAGATATGGGTGCAAGAAAGAACGGCGCGTCCGAGGGAGACACGCCCTGTTCTTTCTTGCGGCCGTTACTTCCAAGCGCCTGCTACGCAGGGTAGCCAAAACAGCCCAATCAAAAGGCAAAACAAAACAGATATATCTGATTTACAGTGTACTTGCATTCCCCCCCACCCATTTGCGATAAAACTAAACCCTTTATTAAATACCGTAAAATTCCGAAAATAAGCCCCGGGGCTTATATTTTTCAAAGGCCATTTTTGAGGGGCTTATCTACGGAGGGAAATTTGCGTTTCAAAATCGATTGGGCTAGCCTTATAGTTGGAAGTAAATTTACCGTTTTACTTTGTATTTGAGGGCAATTTTCCAAGTACAACCCTTGGGGGCTTATATTTGGAGGGGCGATTTAACGGAGGGTTTTTTCGGTTACTGGTTTGGGGGGCTTATATTTGGAGGGGCTTATACATGAAGGGGCTTATTTTCCGAATTTTACGGTAACTTGTCTCAAAGAATACGCAAGTCGTGACCCAAGCCTATCCTAACAAGAAAAGAAAGTAAATACTGAAAAACAAAAAGTATACACAGCTATTCTCTCTGATTACTGGTTTCTTCCGAAGCACCGTAGGCTAACATTTTTTTCGTGGGTTTCAGTACCAATTCTAGACTTTCTGCTGTTACTAAATTCACCCTAGCAACAAAGGCAGCCTTCAGCCGTAAAATTCTTTGTTTTGAGGAGTTTAAAATACTTTTCGGTCATTTGGTTGACAGAACGCTCGAAAATAAAAGCCTTCAAGAACACGAAGCCGGGAAAACACTGGAAGCGAGGGTTTTTGGAACTGGGAATGCGGGCCTATTGCCTCTGAAGCAGCTTTCATACCTCATCATTCAGCTGGAATTCAATCCTCTTTTGCAACTCTTTCCATGACACTTCTTTCGATTTGCTGTTTTTTTCCATCTGTTTAAATTTATCCCGTAAATGTAGCTAATATAACAGATTTAAAGGTAAGAACAAATTACTTTAACAGCCTACCACAACCAACGTGATCGTGAGTAAATACTTTATGTTCCTAACTTGATTCAACTAGTTTAACATTTTAAAACAAAGGTATTCAACAAGCGAACATAGTATAGAGCTCGACTTCTATAATCTATAATAAGAATAGGAATCTATAATATTACTTGCGTATTATACAGCACAACAAGGACTTGTATAGCTAACGAGAACTACATCGGGCTTCAAGCTGCTTTATATATATAGCCTGCTCAATCAAATAAATATTATGATGGCGGTGGTGATAAATTGACTTCAAACGATACAAAATCCTTACCAGGTCTGTTGATGACTTCGATGACTTATCTGTTAGTTCCTTTATTGTTTGCTGGTTTCCTTAGAACAAAGTCATAAACAACATCGCAAAAGAAATTTCACAGAAAGGTAACAATTGCTATTTGATATCTTAGAAAAAGAAGATGACTATATTCAAATCCCCATGACTATTGAAAAATCGGTTTATGTAGATAGATACACTTGTTAAACGTTTAAATGTCTGCTTTTTCTCTTCTTCGTTATTCATCTTTAAGAGTCAGTGACTCCCTATCTTAGTGCATTCTTATATTAATAAATTAAGTATGTCAGTAAGTGCTGTGTAGTTAATTAGATCACTGAACTTCTTTTATTTATTCTAAGTTGCAATCTGAAAGGCTTTGTAATAGTTTAATATTTTTGTTTTTAGTGCCACGGCTATAGCTTTCCAGCTATTTGCAGGGCAAGCTATTCAACTCCTGCATACAAAAGTTGTTGTTGTTGTTGTTTGGTAACAACACGTATCATAAAAATGTCATTCCCAATACCTTTCAGTTCCTCTTCATAACTGAGCAACTTTCTAGCCGAGAGAAAAAAAGATGCAAAGTTGCGTTCGATTTAACACGGTAAGTAAAGAAAGGATTCCTGCATTAGAAAAGAGGAAGATACGGTCTACGTCTAACCTTTGTAATGAGGCGTTCTGCTCGCAAAGGGCCACCTCTCTTTCCTTTACATCCTTGTAATCCTTTAATAGAAACCGAATAACAACTCACTTCACCTGCTGCTAACGGTCATAAAAGAGAACAGGACAGTGACAGTCTCCTCAAAAAAACAACTGTACCTGCACTAACCAATCGGTGGGCTAAATATTGTGCTTACCTGTTCACACGCCACGCCGTTAAAGTTTTGTTATTGGTAACTACATGTGACCAGTTCCTTAATTGATTTCCGGTCTTGGGAAATACAAACAAAATAAATTATCTACATCATTACCTCATTTAACCTTTTAATCGTGGCTTCTTTTTCCTTTAGAGCGCTCGTAGACTGAGATTTATCGTTTTGAAGTTCAACCTGAGTGAAAGACAAAATTAAGAACATCACAAAACTTCAGTAGCTCACAGTAACACAAAGGCCTGAAGTCTATAAATGAGACTGAAGTGCAAGGACGGACGGATGAACTGTCGCATCAACATTATCACACACGATTCTCTTCAGGGAATGTCAGTCGTGGCCATTCCTTTTGAAAATCATGGAATGGAACAAATATAATTAGAAACTTTAGAGAATTACCACCATCTTCTGACTTAGTTTTTTAAAGAATTCCAATAAAACACACCTGTAACACTTTTAACGTTTCTTTGGTTCTTTGTAACTCGTGGGAAGCAGTGGAACAATTACTTCTCTCGTTTTCAAAATTTTCTCTCTCTTCTACAACAGAAAATAATCACGGATCAAAGATGTCTTTTCACTCACGTTGACCAGCACAACAGAGAATTACAGGATAAGAATGGTAACATGAAGGTGACCTTGTCAGTGAAGTCACTTCCTCACTCGCTGTCCAGCCTCAAATCTGGAAAACTAAGACACCTAGAAAGCTCAGACCCCTCCAAATCTGACTGTCCAGCCTCAAATCTGGAAAACGAAACACCTAAGACCCCTCTTAATCTGACTAGCAAACTCATACCAGCCCCCTCCCGCCCCAAATCTGGAAAATAAGACACCTAGAAAGCTCAGACCCCCTAAATCTGACTCAAACTCATACCACCGCCCCTACCCCCCCCCCCTTGAAAGCCCCCTTCTCAGCCCCTAAATCTGGAAAACTAAGACACCTAGAAAGCTCAGACCCCTCCAAATCTGACTAGCAAACTCAGACTACCGCCCCCCTTCCCGCCCCAAATCTGGAAAACGAAGACACCTAGAAAGCTCAGACCCCTCTTAATCTGACTAGCAAACTCAGACCACCGCCCCCCTCCCCGCCCCAAATCTGGAAAACTAAGACACCTAGAAAGCTCAGACCCCTCTAAATCTGACTAGCAAACTCATACCACCGCCCCCCTCCCCGCCCCAAATCTGGAAAACTAAGACACCTAGAAAGCTCAGACCCCTCCAAATCTGACTAGCAAACTCAGACCACCCCCCTCCCCCGCCCCCTAAGACACCCTCAGACCCTCCCAAATCTGACCCAAAATCCCTGGAGAACTAAGACACCTACAAAGCTCAGGTCAAATGACTGCCCAAAAAAAAATTTTGATAGGTCATGCTGTTTATGTGAACGTTCACGTCAGTGATCAACCAGACCGCGATAAGATCGGAGTCAGCACCGTTAGATTCATGAAAAGGCTTTAGTTACTTGAAGGCCATCTGTATCGATGTAGATGGTACGATAAGCTATTTCATACTTACGTTGCAACTGTTTTTCTTTGAGCTCTAGACTTCTCTTTCTTTCGCGTGATTCCTCTTCATATTTTAGTTGATACCTGTAAGTGAAATGGTTAGCCATGGGAGTGAAATAGTAGCAGACTATCATTCCTAGTTGTGTATTTACTACAACATGTTTCAAGTTGTTGCAGTCATCTTATCTTTTTCTAACTGTTGTTCTCCCAGAAAAAGCGTACTCAACAAACTAAGAACCGGCAAAGGCCGCCTTGCGACAAGACCCAACGCCGTTTTAACAAAGTAGACACCGCACAAGAACAACAGAACCTGGCGGTAATGTTTCACTGGGAAACGACCTGATGTTTACAGACCTGACAGGGCTCAAAGTTAGCGACTAACTGGTCGCATATGCGACTGGATTTTTGGTTGTGCGCCTAAAAATTCATGTACAATCGCACCTGTGCGCCGTAAAACCCAAAGCACAGTGCGACTGACTTACTTCCGACTACACTTACGAACTCGAACTAGAAAGACGGTGTATGTTTAATTGGTCTTTTCTCCCAATGGATTCTACGAACTCGAATGTTCTTTTTCGTTTCGATGTTTTACTCCATCCCAGACTCTTCTGTTTTGTAATAAACACCGCTGACACATGCAAATATATGCTACGAACGAAGCACGTATTTTTTGCGCAATGGACGATCATGTCGAACGTTCAGTTTTAACGTCAATCAAAACAAAAACAGTGCGAATTAAGAGCCTTTTTTTTCAGGTAAGAAAGTTTTTTATTTCGTATTTCAGTTACATGTAAGTCATTGCGCATTTAACAAATTCATTAAAGATTAATTTTCATTCTTGTTCGACACACTCATTGTTGTCAGTTTTGAATTGTTTTTCAAGTTTCAAGTTTCAAGTTTTCTTTAGTCACAACTGTACTGTCAAATAGAGAAATTAGTATTAAAAATCACAACGGTATTACTGCGTAGCAAATCGGCTGTGTTTTATCAATCATAGGACTGAAGTAAAAGTGACAAACTGAAGATGACAAATAAACTTTACTTTTTCTTTTGAAATAGATGCTCCCAACATTATAAGCTGTGCTCCTAAAATTTTCAGCTGTGCGCCTAAAATTTCGGCAGTGCGCCTAAAAATTTACATCTGGTAGCACAAGTGGTCCCAAACTCAAATTTAAACTTTGAGCCCTGCCTGTCATCAGACAACAGTCACTGGAGTAAGTACAGTGGCGCTGTAAAACTAGACAAGCAAAAATGAACAATTTCAGTTGACACTGTTAAGGTGGCTCCATCATTAATACTGGGGCACTTAACTGTGACAAATTTTCCGTCATAACTTTTTCGTTTTTAACGCGATGGCTGCAAAACTTTAAGAACAACAGAGGCCATTCGGTAATAATATGAAATATTCCGATTTCATTGATGGAAAATATTTCTTGAGAAGTTGGCGTTTAAAAGGATCCTACTGTTCAAAAAAATGGCGTCTAGAAAAAATTTTGCTGATATTTTTTACTGAAATTTGTGGTATCGGCTTTTCTTGATGTAATAAATATACCAGAGAAATTTCAGAATAATCGTTGGAGCAGAAGTCCGTAACTGTGAAAATTATGGAATTTCAGAAATATATTACTATCAGGTAGAAGGAGCCACCAGTTCGAATTTTCGGGACATGCAATTAATTTCAATGTTTGCTAATTCTGAAAACAAAAGCTGATTTCCTATCGTGCTATTCTTTAAAAGGTACTTTTTAGTTTTAGAAGCACTATAAATTGCTCCAAACCTTGCTCTGACGTCGAATGACTTGTTCCACGACATTTTCAAAATATCCCTTAGTAGTTTTGGCTCAAACTCCTGCTTCATACATTTTGAGGTATTGCAATGCATCCTCAACGGCTTTTCCTGCTGTACGTTGCTTCCAATTCAGGAAAAAGGTATTGGGATTGTAAGCTACCTTGTATCGAAGCTCATATAGAACTGTCCAGCACATTTGTTTATGACCAGACAATGAGCACGAGCGGCAGCTCTGCGAGGAATTCGCACCTCAGCTAGGGGGGACGAACGATGATGCCCATGCCAGCGAACCGATCTTGCAGAGCAAAACATAATAATCAAGAAAAATACTACTCATTCATTGAAGGAAGGAGTGACAAAAATTTCAGAGTTGTAAATTTATTCACGGGCAGTATTTTTGCGATAATTTTATTTTACACTGTAATGTATTCGGTTCACAGGCATGGGCATCATTGTCGTTCGTCCCCCCTGGGTGAGGTGCGAATTCTTCGCAGAACTTCCACTCGTGCTCATTTTGTAGTCACAAACAAAGGTGCTGGACAGTTCTATCTGAGCTTCGATACGAGGTAGCGTCCATTCTCAATACCTTTTTCCTGAGATGGGAGCAACGAACAGCAGTAAAAATCGTTGAATGTGTATTGCAATACATCAAAATGTATGCAGCAAGAGTTTAAGCCAAAACTGCCAAGGGATATTTTAAAAATGTCGAGGAACAAGTCATTCTACTTCAGAGTAAGGTTTGAAGCAATTTATAGTGCTTCTAAAACTAAAAAACTACGTTTTAAAGAATAGCATGATCGGCTTTTGTTTTAAGAATTAGCAAACTTTGAATTTACTTGTCCCGAAAATTCGAACTGGTGGCTCCTTCCACCTGATAGTAATTTATTTTTGAAATTGCAAAACAATTTCACGGCTGAATTATCAGCAACTTTTAGTTACAAACTTCGGCTCCAACGATTTTTCTGAAATTCCTGTGGCACATTTATTATATCAATTAAAGTCGATACCAGAAATTTCAGTAAAAAATATCAACAAATTTTTTTACTAGACGCGATTTTCTTTGAACAGTAGCGTCCTTTTAAGCGCTAATTTAGCACAATATATTTACCGTCAATGAAATCGGAATATTTCGTATTATTGCCGAATGATATGTTGTTCTTTGCAAAGTTTCGCAGCCATCGCGTTAAAAACGAAAAAGTTATGACGAAAATCGTCCCAGCTTAATGCGCCTGTATTAATGACGGAGCCACCTTAAGCAAAAGGTATTGCATGAAGAAGTTAATTACCTTTTAACTTCTTCGTCCAGTCGTCTATGATAGTTAGTCTCTGCATCTTCCAGAAGAGATTTCTTTATTTTCAGTTCCTCTGACAATACCTTAATCCTTTCTTCCTCAAGCTGCAAACTCCTACAATGAATTGCCATAAATATGAACCATACATACACCAAAGTACCAAGATACTTAAGGTAAGTTTCATTAAACGGAAATCAGTCACAGCAGTGTTTAAGGTACACCCACAATCCCCTGAACAGTCATTAATCAGACCAAAGATATGTCGCACCTGTAAAATGCAGGAAAATCCATTCAAGCGTTGCGCGATTAATTTAAGTCTTCTTCTGACCGGCACAAGAAATTCTACTTGACTGATCATAAGCAAGGCAAAAACGCTGCTCGCAAGATTTCATCTTAGCTGATAACAATCAAAGATCATCTGAAATTTAGCGCTTTGCCTACTTTGTTTTCATCTGCTGTCTCAAGTCAAATTCTGATTCTCGCTCCTTAAGAGAGAGCATATCTTCCAGGAGTTTTTGCCGCTGAATGTAAGCTTCTTCTTCTTGAAGCTGTCACAACAAGTACAAATAATAAGCTAAGATTAGAACGATAACAGGATATCAACTTCAAAGGTTTAACAATAATATCAGTTATTGTTGAAGTTCGTTGTCACAAACATTTTTGTTTTGTTTGATTGAGGTTTTTGTGTGACGTACTACTGTATTCTAAATTGGCAAGAGCAGGTTCACATGATTCCCTGCTGCAAAGGACCTATTGAAGGTACCTTCATTCCTGCTCAAATGACGGATAAAATTTGGACGGAAAACACCGTTTTCAGAATAATTTTGGAAGCAATTTTTTCAACCGAACAATTCCGTACAATGTAGTTAAAGCAATTTATTAGGTGCCGTAGGTGCCTCTAGCGACGGATAGAAATCTCAAGTTCGCCATCGAACACCTAAATTCTGATGCACCCCTTTCACTGTCTTCATTCTTGCAGGGATCAGGAGCACTGCTAATTACAACTGGCTAGTTCGGTGTCGATGTGTCGTGTAATGGCTATTAATATAGCCTGAATTCCAGACGATTACTTGGAACGTTTTTTCTCTCAGTAATGTCTGAATAAACCGATCGTTAATGCAGTCCAGCGACATCACTACTCCTTTCCTTCAATTCATGCAAAAAGTAAAACACGATTTTCAACGGGCAAACCAAGAAATCGTTTAGAATTGCTTTACTCTTTGCGATCGTAATTCATATTTAAACGTCTAACTGTCAACTGCATGCAGCATTCTGAACCGGTTGTGATTCAATAATCAAACTAGCCTGTTCCAGGCTCCGAGATTGTCGGGTCCGCTGAATTGAGAAAGCGCGAAGATAAAAAAAAAAACGGGAGTAAACTGGGGAGAGGAAGTGCAGCGGCTTCCTTTTTCCGCTACGCCAACTTTTCGCGTGCCTTTCAATTTCGCGTCTTCCCTACTATCTGAGAGCCAGCCTGGAAGAGACTATAAAGTCAAACCCCTCTCACCGTTGTAGAGAGGTGGCCGTACTGGGGAGATAGGGATGTAATGTGACAATTTTATTTTCGGGGGCGTGGGGGTAATACATATTTATTGTGCTACTGTAAGTTCATGCTTACTGTCTCCCATAATGGTACTTATCCAATCTTAAATAATATATAGAGATAAAATTCACAAAAAACTTGAATTATGTTTTGAATCAAAATGGTAACATGACAAAAAAAGAAAGGTTCGCAACATTTGCTATGCTTACTGTAGCAGCAGAGACAGTAATCAAAACGCGATCGCCGCGGTCAACGCGCCACACGGATTAAATTTCATACCCATTCTTGACTTTTTCACCATGCAGTCGCTGAAAACATTGGCTGTTGTCGACGTTATTTTGGCAGTTGGGCACACGCTTTAGTGGCTGTTGTCGTCGTAGAGAGGTTTAAATAAGAGTCAATGTATGGTCTGTCTGCTGGGACAACATTCAGTGGCCGTTGTGGAAAGGTAGCCGTTACTAAGACGAGGTTCGACTATAATCAAACTCGATCGCAATCACGTAATTAAAAAATTATACACACGGAACACTTAGTTCAAAAACACAAGGATTTGTTTTGATTGAAAAGAAGCTATTTGGTCCTTAAAGAAGACGGAGAAAGAAAACAAGGAAACCAGAAAGAAAAGCTAACAGAATTATTACACTTGACGGTGGAAATGACCAGAAAGTCGAATAATTTTATAAGCTTAACTTAAATAACAGAAAACTTCGCATAAACAAAATCAATGCTGAAACCACAAAGAGACTCTATAAATGAAAAACCTACCTACTCTCCACAATGATTCTTCATTCGTAGTTCAATTTAACAATTCATAGTTTCGAAGACAAAGGTAACCTTGCTGTTTACGATAAAGATTGTCAAAATTTTTGAACGCAAGCACTGATGTCAGGCATGCGAGCCTGGGCGGACGCAAGCCGCTGAATAACAGACGACAGTCTCGCTAAATTTCTCATAATTATACATAATTATGCAAAAGTTTGGACAATCAACTTTGACTTTGGGTGCGTTCCTTTGAAATGATCCGGATCAGGATCAGTGATCCGAGATCACTCGGATCATAGTAGATCAAATGAACCGATGAATCCACTCTGGACAAGGATTCATCGGTTCACTTGATCTACTATGATCCGAGTGATCTCGGATCACTGATCCTGATCCGGACCATTCCAAAGGAACGCACCCAAAGTCACTACCCGGTTTTTGGGTAGTGACGTCACTGGACAGCATGAACGGCCTGTTTATTCAGACGTTGCTGCGAGGAGAAAACGGCTATAATAATAGGCATAAATGAAGAATTGACCTCCTCATTTTTCTAACAAATGGAGCAACAATTCTCGACATTTTAAAGATCCTTCACGTTTACTGATCCTGATAAATCATGTGTGCCAAACACATGTCAAGTAACCCAATCATTAAAAGCGCACCTGTTTTTGGTTGTTCAGAAGATGAAGCTTTTCTCTTTCATTGGCCTTCAGTTTTTCTGCCTTTGCAGAAAACTCTTGCTCAAGCTGAAACGAAATGTCAATGTTTAATGGATTAAAGACTACCTTTTGTATAACTATTGTTTTATTATACAATGTATACATGCCACATATTTTAATTGTATATACATTATTATTATTATTATTTCTTATTTGTAAATAATTTTTATTTTTGTGTCCCCAATTAGTTGTGAAAACTAAATACATTGACACATTAATAAAGCTTTTACTTTACTTTACTATTAAAGCCACAGTACACATCCTTCATCAAAATAGCACATTAGAATGGCTCTAGCAAATAAATTCATAGCCCGCGGAGCAGGCGCTTGGATAGCCTGCGTAGCAAGCGTTTCCACTCGAGTTATTGCGCGAAGGTTCGAAACGCATGCTATGCGGGCTAGCGCTTGGAAGTAATGGGCACAAGAAAGAACAGGGCGCGCAAGGGTCTTTGTTGCATACGAATTCCAAGCACCTGCTATGCAGGCTAATGAATTCAGACGTGTATCAGTGACTTCTAGCTACTTCTACAGCTGTCTGAATAGTATTAACTTTTAGTTTTTTAATGCCGGATAACACAATTAGAAAGAGCATTTTTAAGCACTATGGCATTTTAAACAACCCCAGAATGATATAGAAGTGGAAGGGTAAACTGTCTTCAAGATGCAAACACACTATGTGCAAAAGTCCCTGTTTAGTTTGTCGGGAAGAATATATTTCCTTTCCGTGGATTTTCATTCAAAACTTGAGAATTGCCTAATCGCAAGTAGTGGATGGCTCCATAGAGCTGCTATTATTTAAGTTTCACTTCCTTAACAAGGAGGTAACAAACCACAGGGAACTGAGGCTCAAATTTCAAGTGCACCCATAAAAGTGAGATAATAAAATTAACTAACAAGACCATTTAACTATTTGTACATAACACAGAGGTTCCAGCATTCTAATTATTAGACAGGGAGTAGATGCAATAGGACTATTATAAAAGCGATACTTGTAGTTTGCCTTGAGGTGGTGGAGATGGCTGCAGCCAAGTATGAAGAGTTTAGCATGCTGCTGGGGATCCTCTCATACATTATGTATCACAGATTAATGAGAAGCCCATACATCACTAACATACCCAGATGAGAGTAAACATAAGCTGAGCACAGTAGTTTTTGCAGCCAGCTCCTATGCCATTACAACTATCCAATTACAAAATGCCAGGCTTCTGACTGGTTTTGTCCAGGTGAGCTTACTGGAGACATCAAGCTGAGTTTCTTTTGAGAGGGCAATATGAGCAAAGGTACACTTGTAACCTCTTGCCACACAGGGTGAGTTGGCCACAATGAGAGGTCTCTTGCTAGCATGTTTGTTTATATTCTTAATGCTTTGTGTAAATAAGAGCCTCCTGCTGTCAGAGGTTGCTTCTCCTTCCTAATACTTTATGTCTATGTTACAGGTCAAAATTAACTGAAATTCAGGTTAAAATTTTTTAACCTAGGTTGATTCTCAATTTCCTTTGTCTCCTAGCCCTAATTATTCATGAATCAGGGCTAGCAGACAAACGAAATTGAGAATCAACCTAAGATAAAAAATTTTAACCAGAATTTAATTTTGACCTCTAACATCTACATTGAATTGAACAATACACAACTTGAAGTCAAATCACTACTCCTTAGCAGTCTATTGCTACAATTCAGCCTCTTATTTTCCCTCACTGCACCACAATACAAAATAAGTAGTCACCTGTTTTCTGACATTTTGGACTTCCCTTTGATGTTTTTCTTTCTCCTCAAGCCTCACTCGAGCTATTTCTGTAGCCTTTAGGTACTCAAGCTGTTAATAGCACACTTTCATCAGTTAACTAGGGCAAATGTCAAAAAAAACTTGTGGAAGGAATACTATCAAAAACCATTAGAAGTAAACATATCTAGGAATTGAGATTTTCGGGCCGGGGAGGGATCAAGGGGCAAGCCAAAAGTTCTGTGAGGATCAGATCTGTCATTATTTCATCTGTATCATTGTCAATACATTCAGTAATTTTTTTTAACATCCACGCAATGGGGGGTTATATAATTTAAGACCCAACCTCTGACCTAAAAATTCTCACCCCTACTTCACGGACCAGACAGAATCCTGGTACGTGTCCCTTTTTTTGAAACCCTTCAAAATTAAGCTCATGGATAGTAGCTACGCTTAAATTACAACTTTAGAGTATGTACATGAATCAATGTCTTATTAAGCACTGGTCCATCACCTCCTCATCCAACATTTTCTTCTTTTTCTGTTCCCACTGCCTGTGTAATTCTAATAAACGATTTTCCGTGTGTGAACTCCATTTCTGGTTTTCTGTCTGAAGATTCTTTGTATACTGCTTTTCAACATTTTGAAGTTGATCTTCTACCAACAGAAACATATAACTTTGCTAAAAACACACTAGCTATCACTTATGGATAAAATAATACTAACAATATTATAATAACAATAACAATAATAATAATAATAATAATAATAATGATAATAATAATACAGCTGATAACAAAAAGGTTCTTATGGCACATTTAAAAAATCTCACTGCACTTACAATAACGGTATAAAACAGAATCCATTAGGAAATTGAGTAATTTTAATTTTCAGAGGAAAAAATCTTTTACCAGAATATTTTAATCCATATCACATTCTTTTTTACACTTTTCAAAGGCTTTAATTACCTGTAATAACACCAAAGACAATTTCTAACAGGAGCCCAATGCAAGAAGATAAATTTCAAATTTCATAGGAACTGAGAAGACACAGATAAAATCGTCATGCATAAGATTTTATTTTGTGAAATTTGAGGCTTTTAAAGTTTGCTTCTTGGGCTCCAATAAGAACCTTTTCTTCGGAGTTATTTCATACAACTTATTACATTTATAGCCATTGAAAAGTGTGAAAAAGAATTGTAATATGCTTGAAATTATTCTGGTACAAGGTTTTTGTCCACCGAAAATTAAAATTACTCAATTCCCAAATGAATTTCATTATAATTTGTTACTGTGAAACTGAAAAAAAATAAATTAATGTGAATGGCAAAGGTATTTCTGGAATGTCCGCTATTGTATTCCTTGGAAAAAGCCAATAAAGCTTGAGAAAACTATACCCCAGGCAACAACGCTAACAGTGGTGTGGTTCTGTGGTGAGCTTATTATGTGTCCTGGTCCTTCTTGTGATTGGTCCACTAGCAATCAACATTTCTGAAATATTTGAACTATGTGTAGTACTTAGTCTACCACATTTCACCTCAATTTCAAAGAACAGACTAGCTGGTTTAGTTTATCCACTCATTCAAAACTAATTCTTCATAACTACCCAGTTGTAACCAAAGACGTTTGCTTTAATTTATTTTTGGGCATAAAACAGGAACCACTGACATCAGGCAAAGACAATGGCAAGGTAGCTCAGGTGTTTTGGCAGCAGAATGGCAGAACGTGTTTTGAAAAGTATCTCCAAGAGAAAAAACAGAGGTCGACATGAATTTTTTAAGTTGGTTGCCCAAAACATTCCGTACAAACAAATTAAATAAAGCTAAATCTGCGAAACTTAATATTCTTAACATCCTTAATATTCAAGTTCAAAGTTATCAGGGGATAAATGAGGATGATATTCTATACAAATATTTTTACACACTTACTCGCCAAATCGAAATAGATTGGAACTCACAAGGCTGCTGCCTAATGGGCGCCTACATATGCTTTTACCATTGGGCGACCAAAATTTCAAATGGGGAGCCCGAACAGGCACCTAAAACTTATCATTCTCAGACTAACTTCCAGTGAACAAACAACAAACCCTGGTCATTCTGCCCTTTGGAAACGAAAACAGAAAACGTTTAGTTGTCAGCAGTAGGCAAAAAAATATTTCTGCCAACAAAAGGTAAACAAAGAAGCACTTTTGCCTTGAAATTCACTTAATGTGACTTTCACTGCAGTGCAGTTGAAGTTTCTCGTCTGAAAATGGCCTTGAATGAATTTATAATTTATAACAGTCGTCAAAAAAGCTTTGACATCAAAATCATAACTTTTCCCCCAGCATTAGAAGCGTTAGGTAGCTAAATTGCATGAAGTAAAAACTGATAAAAAGTTGCGATCTTTGGAAAAGCAGGAGGTTTCAAATTACAAGTGACATTACTTTTGCAAGTTTGTGGCATTTTTTATCTTGCTACGAACACAAAAGGTACACTCAGAGGTTTCTTATCATTTATTCAGCATTATCTGCCTACCTATTTTTTCCTGCACGTTTTGTAGTAACTTTTGAAAGGCTCACAAAAACATTCCAGTTTTTGAAAATGAATTGCGGTGGGTATTCAAGATCATATTTCAATCTCTTTAATTTATGCAGTCACGCACAACGCACATAAATACAAACCTTCACAACCATAAAAACAGTTTCGATAGTTCAAAAGATAGACTTGATAGAAAAATACCGAGTCATGTTAACCTACAACTTTCACAGAAATTTCAGTAGCCCGATTGGGCAACTGGGATCCTTAACTTATTGCCCAGATGAAATTTTTAGTTGCCCCGGGCAATCGAGCAGCCATTAATAATCTCCAGCCCTGAAAAAGCAACTGTTCATATCCTGGACTGCAATGAAGGAACGGGCAAATGTTTTAAAGAAAGGAATTCTACAAAGAAGAGATAAGGGACGCTTTGAGCTTTACTTTAGTAAAACTATTAAATACAACTAAAATGACAGTACAATAATTAATATTTAAGAAAGTATAAACACAATAAACAGCTTAACTGTAGATCACCATTGAAGCACTGCAGCTTAGTCATTACCCCTTCCCCCCTTCCTTAGCAACAACTGCAAGAGAATTATTGCATGACATGATACTTAACTTGATTATGAAGGGTTGTGTTGAAAAACAAACACTCACCACTGCACTATTCCATATCACATCATTTTCTTGTTCTGATAATAAATCTTAAATAATTTTTTATTTTCTAGAAATCTGACCTACCCATTGAGGATTGTCCCTGTAAGATTGTTTGAACTGCTTTTGAATTCTTTTCACAACTGTGTGACCATGCCAGATGACTTAATAACTCTGTAAGTAAACCTGCAAATATTTTAAAAAGAAGATCCTTAAGGGAAACACTTAAATAAAGCAAACAATAACTATTTTAACTAAAGTGAAAAATGTTAGTCCCAAACACCACTTGTTGCTGTCCCTCAAACCACTGAATTTCAGTTGTGTGTGTCTATTCTTGCTGGATATCAAATTCTTCCTCAGTCATTATGATAAAGAGTATCTTGACTATACATTTTAAAACTACAGTGAGCTAGATTTTTTTCTAATTTTAGAGTGTTTTATTCTGATGATAAAACAAATCTGCTGTGCAATAATTGTCATTCCTCCCAATGAAGTATGAGGATTGTTATGTTTTAGATGAATTCATTACTATAATATTAAACAATTTGACACAAAACAAAAGATAACCAAACTAGTTTTATTCAGTTATTGTTAAAACAAATGATCAATGTAAAATACCTTTTGATGGTGTATTCTTGTCCAACATCATTTCCTCGAAACAAAACATAATGAAAAATTATAGTCAGTCCTAAAACCAAAAAGGTTTAACTTAAAAGCTTAAGGAACCCCGGACAAGTTACAGTTTACAGTGTTTACAGTTTTAATAACATCGCTACGTAATTGACCAATCAGATCAATAACCAGAGTACAACGCCATCAACTGACGTGATACAACTCACTTTGACTCTGAAGATGACTACCGCACAGGTTGTCGAAACGTCAGTCACTGTCAACAACAACAGTCCTATTCAGGACTATGTTCACCCGGACGATCAAACTCAACCTACTTTTGAAATGACTCCTGGATTCAAACCTTTCACAACAACAATATTATTACATTATTTTCTATCATTTTTAGATTTCTTCATTGTTATTATTTTTATTAATACAGCTGTATTTATTATTTAGGACTATAATAATATGACATAAACAAGTAAGGCATTCACCATGTGCTGGTAGAGTTGTGAACCAGCAGTGATCTTCAATATGAGAAGGATATCCTTCACTGTTAGCACCTGTCATAATGAAAACATATCTTTGTTTGTAGAAAAAAAATAATGTCCTTCAATAAGATTTTCGAATAAGTTAAGAGTGTTTACCTTGCTTTCTTGTAAACCACTTTCCGGAAGGAACACAGATAAAGAATATTCATATTTACATCTCTTTAAATGGTCAGCAACCAAGCTGTTAGCTGCAAGCTCACACAAGTTCTCTGTAACTGTTGATTTATCACGTCCTGTTAAACCACCGTGCAATGCATGCGCAGACGTCTCCTGAAGCTCTGCTATCAGACGATTTCTAAGCTGAGACTTAAAAAAGAAGAAGAAAATAAAATTGAATTGATGAATATTTGTATTTCATTTACAACAAGAATGCTCTTACATTCAGTCTTGCTTGCTTGGAATTAGAAATGAGGAGGCAATTAATTATACATGAAACAGGATTTACTTGTTAATGGTTTTTTATTTACTTCCTACTTTAGCGACGTCCAGTATTCTTCAGGATATTTACTATTTATTGGCATTATAAATACACAAAAATGCTCATCACAAGACCCATTTGCATACAACGCAAGTTAACAATTACACCCGACCACCGTAGCTTTGCTAATCAAAATTTCTATTTTTTCAACCACTCAGTTGTGTTCACGTGTTCCATAGTAATCAATGCTTTAAAGCGATAGAATTGGTGGACCGACACGTTTCGGAAAAGCTCTAAATTTAATATTTCCTAAGCTTTCTTTGCAAAACATGCATGGCTTCGGTCACGCAACGATTCTTATTCCCAGTTTCCAGGTCTCCGCTAGGAACACCTGGCACAATGACCCCCCTTTTGTGTCATAAACATGAAGAAAAATGGATCTCGCTGCTTACGCAAGCGTGACCAATAAACTTCTACTTATAAACCCTGGGCTTATACACTTTCGCAAGGGGTTTTAGGAGGTCTATAATCCGACTAAACATGGCATTTCAAAACAAGCTACATAGCAGTGCTGATTAAAAAATACCTTTGGAATTAACTCACTTTTTAAAATTCAAAACGCCTTAAAAAGTCAAATTGATTTCAATACAAGCTAGAGGGGGGCTTATCGGGGGGGAGGGGGCTTATAACCGGTAGTTTCGAAAATGAAGACCGACATGTATTTCTTGATTTACAGGTTGATTGGCCTACAATAACTAGGGGGGATTAAGTTAACAGTATTGGAACTGGGGAGTAAAGAAAATGCAAAGGAGATCCTCGCAGTCATAGACCCCAGTTTGCAAAAATTGAACATTGCCAGAATTCGAACCCTGTCCTCTGCAGTAGTGTAGCTTTCTAACCAATTGAGCTAGCTAGCAAGCAAACTCGGAGCTAGTTATTAATTTGGTTTATCACATTGCCGAAAGAGATGAAAATGAAATAATACATACATGAAAAAAAATATAATATTGAATATGCAGTCTAAAGAAATAAATGCAACAGTTATAGACTCAACTTAGGCAGATGAGATAAGAAAGCCTGAAAAATTTAGTCTTGCTGGGATTCAAAAAAGAAATCTGTAGTACAAGAACTGTACGATGTTTGTTCTGGTTTTAGCTTTTTTTTTTTTTTAAAGTTCTACTACATAACAAAATAACATTTTCATTTATTACATAGGGCCTCTATGGATAGCAGTTTTTACATTGAAATGAAGGTTTCAATTCTATTCTATAACAAATATTATAAGAAAGTGTGCAAAGCAATGAATCACGTAAATGTCACTTTGTTTAAAACATGTGTCAAAACAAACCAAATTTGCGTTTAAACAATATCTGATGTTTCATTTATTAAGTTTATAATAATATTTGAATGAAGAAATCCAACCTATCCCTGGGGGAGGGTAATAAATTGTACAGAGGGCATTCAAAAAAGTGCCTATTCACTAGCTTTCTTTTTTAAAGAAATCCCATTATTCCTTTGCCACCAGGCGGGCGTGTTTAAAACACGAAAAGGCGAAATGACCTAAAATTATTCAGAAATAATACACATTTTTCTTTGACAGGTCTTCCTCCATACTATTCAGTGGAGTTATCATGCGCATTCTCGACCTTGAGCAGGCATAAGATTTATACAAGGCTTTGGTGAAGAGATTGTTGTCTAGGAAGGCTTGGGTGATGTGCGTGCGCAAGCTCATCATCATATGCGCCGATTTAGCTCTTCCGTGAGAAATCAACTGCAGTTTGAGCAGAGATGTTGAGATGGTGGAGCATATTACAAAGCAAAGCTACCATCAACTTTAACGTATGTGAGGATAAAGAAGAAAAAATTTCAAAGTAAAAAAAAGTTGCCAACAGTTCTACAAATAAACAGGGTATATGATTTCGTGCAAGTCTATCCTAATTATTCGCAGGAAATTGCCTGATCTGATTTGCTTGATAAAATTTGTTTGCACTCAAAGTATACAGAAGCAACAACTATAATGTGAAATTTGCTCCATTGCAATTGGCTATAAATGGCTTTAAATCAAGACGGCATACACTTTGTCCTTTATCCTAGACAATGTAATAGAATTGAGGGTGTTATCCTAAGCAGGGCATGCATTAAAGGATTTTTTCTCCTAAACTGGGTCAGGGTTCAAACCCTCAGTGGTTTACCTATACCCAAATATTGGTCGAGTACTTCCCCTCTAGTGTCGATCGTCTTTATTTAACTTTAGAGTTACTAGTACTTCAGTCCACTCTGCTGGATTAATTTTACTTCAAGCTTTAGCTTTCTAAAGAATGAAGTAGAATGAAGACTTATTTTTTTGCAGGATGTTCAGTCTCACCGACAGTGATCAACAAATCTAAATGTTACTAATGAAAGACTTGTAGCTTAAACTGAAGCTACAGCAACTATGGTCACCACTGTCACTCATGCGATCAGACAAGATTATTCGGATCATGTATCTTTTGGGGGACCGTCGATTGATGTATCAGCCGACATCTCGGTCGACTGTCGATATATACATCGGCTGATACGCGGTCGACTTTCGACCGAGATGTCGGTTGACAGTCGCCTGAGTATCGACCGATAAGCAGCAACACTCGGTCACTACAGTCTATTCGTCATTAGTAAAATCCATCTAGTGATCTATTATCAATGCTGCATTCTGATTGGTTGACCTACTACTAGGGTATATGTTATAGCCCACTAGTAGCGAAAGCACCAGCTTTTTGGCGGCAAAAAAAGGATTAAAGTCTAGCTTTAACCAGCTAAAGTTGTTTTGTCTCGATATTTTTGACCAGCTAATTGGATTTTACTAAAACAATTATTCCTCTTGCCCTCATGGCCTCTGTCAGTCAAGAGCCCATGAGGCCGTCAGAGCCCATTCAGGCTCAAGAAATAATTGTTAAATAGCCGGCCAATAGTTGGCCATTTACTTTGCCGACAGATCATCAACATATCACCGACACTTCGCTGATGTAACGGCCAATACCTTGTTTGAAATGTCAGTCGATGCATCGGTCAAGTGGCAGTCTAGTAGCAGCCGAATGTCAGTCAAAGTCAGCGCATCTTGACCGATATGTGGCCGGCACTTGACCGCGGATCAATAGATTGTTCTGGGCAACCAGCCTCAGTTTCAAAAACAGAACAATCTCTTGATCCTTGACTGCTACGGTCTTTCGGTCGACAGACGGCCAAAACCGATATGGGTAACAAGAATTAGTGTCCATTGCATGTCAGCTGACGTATCTTGTAACAAAGGGCAAAGCATTGGGTAAAAACGATAGCAATTGTCAACCGATACACCACTGATACTCAAGCAACGATTCACCAAATTATATATTGCCGACACTACCGATGCTATCTCGACCGACTGTTGGCCGATCTGTCCATGGATACTCGACCAACAGGAAAACACCTCTGGGTCGATACTCGGTCAACTGTGGGCTGAGAGTCAACCAAGTATCAGCCAACAGAGAGGCTGATATATCCATTGACAGTCGACCAAGATATTGGCCGATACATCGATCGACAGTCCCCCAAAAGATACATGATCTGATTATTCTTTGGGGCCTCATACAATCCATCTTGCTTTTCTTGCGATAAGTAAGTCTTTGAACTGAAGCATGATGTTTTGTAATTGTTCTGTTGGTAATTACTTTTGAATTAGATTGGCAACTTTCTAATAGATAGAAATAATAATAGATAGAAACTGATCATCGGAAAGTTTACCAATTCATCGATAATACTAGATGGTACTCAATATTATTGTCGATTGACAGGTCAATTATATCATAGTAAAAAACGTGAGCTATCTCGAAAGAAAAAATGGTGAAAGCTGTTCCTGAGCAGCTGCTTCCTCCACAGGCTTTCCCAAGGCTTAGTGGGGAGCACAGAACAAGCAAGAAGTGTGAAAACTGAAGAAAAGCGAGAACTGCAAGAGTTGACTCCAATATCGTCCAAAAAGTGATTGCAAGCGACTGGGGACTAATGATGGTGGTGATGATGATAATGATAAATGATAATGATGACAATGATGATAATGAGAATGAAAACAATCTGTGATGTTATAAAAGCAGGATAAAAGTAACGGTAATAATGATAGTGTAGATAGACCTTGTCTACTGCACAAAGTAAAGGACATGACAGTTTATGTATACCACAGGAAGGGAGGCAAGAAGACTTTTTTTTTTTGAAGGGAAAAGGGGGGCATGGTAAAAATTTCTGAAGGCAGGAAGGGGGAATGCCAATTTTTTTTAGATGCCATTGAAAGATTAAGTATTTGTAACTTTATTGATTTAAACCATTACAGAAGTGAAGTTCCTTATTTTCTAGTTCAATGATGAAGGAACTTAATGTTTCAATGGCATCTAAAAAGAATTGGCATCCCTCCTTCCTGCCTTCAGAAAGTTTTATCATCCCTCCCTTTTCCCTTCAAAAAATCCTCGGTGTAAAACCTGTGAAGTAGTTCTTTGTTTTCTAGCTATTATTTTCCTTGGCCCTATTGTGTTGACTTCTCACTGGCTTTTTTGTATTAATATTGTTTTACGTCACTCGTGGGGTTCACAGC